AGGGCTGGGAGACTGCAGGGTTGGAGGAGGTATCGGTCGGAGCTTGGTCGGGCTGAGGGGGGGCGAGTTATCGGTTGGCTGGTGGTGAGATGATGTATTCTCTTCCCTTGTTATTTCCTTTATCATTATTATCATTGGTGGTAGCAGTAGTGATTTGTGTTATACCTTAGTTACTAAACTGTTCTTATCTCAACCCGTGGGAGTTGCATTCTTTTTGATTCTCCTCTCCGTCCCTCCGAGAGCAGGGGGAGGGCAATAAAAGGGGGGGAAGTGAGCGAACGAGTTACCTGACTGAGTTTAAACCACGACAGTTCTTTTTGGCGCCCAACGTGGGGCACAAAGGGTTGAGATAACGACAGATTTGACTGGATTAATAGTTACTCGTCACAATGCTGATTTATTGGCTCTCAGAGTTGTTTTGCTTGATCTCGCAGCTTCAGAATGTTGTAACTTACGTAGAGCCGGTATTTGCTGTGTTAGTGTTTATCAAGTGTGGGGCCTGGGCTAAGGTTCTTGTCTCACTGTGCTTTATGGCAATGGCTTGTAATACGGGCGGGCTCCAGCAGCAGGGCGGGACGGACGTGGCCGTGGACTTGTACCTGGCCGTCCGGCTGCTCTTCACCGCCCTGGCCCTCACCCTACTCTCCATCTTCGTGAGGCTGCGGGGAGCCGTGGGGGCGCGGCCCCGGGAGCCGGCGGCAGCCGAACCGGCCCGGGAGAGCGGCCCCGGGGACCAAGCGGCGGCGGGAGCAGGGCCGGAGGCCGCGAGGGGACGGCTGCCGGTGGAGGAGGTCGGGGCGGTCGAGGAGCGGAAGGAAGCGGCTGCCGAGCAGCGGGAGAAGCCGAGCCCCGCGGAAGAGCCGAGCCCCGCGGCCGAGCCGAGCCCCGCGGAGGAGCCGAGCCCCGCGGCCGAGCCCAGCCCCGCGACGGCCGAGAGCATTCCCCGGAAGCCGCCCGCCGAGCCCCAGGAGGATGCAGGAGACCACGCAGCATTTCCCAGCAAGGCAGAGGAGGAAGAGCTGGACTCAGGAAAAGAGAAGCTGGCGGTGGGAGAGCCGGCAAGCACAGCGGCTACACCAGCCCCAGTGACAAGTACAGCAGCATCGTTTGAGAGTTCTGAAGGTTTTGAATGGCCTTTGGGTATCCTTGGGACCTGCCTGCTGATTGTGATGGGGATCAGCATGTTGGCACACACACAGACTGTGTTCTACCCACAACCATTTTGTCTGATCTCAACAGTTAAGCAGAGTCAGGTTTGGGTCTTGTCTGGGGTTAGACGAGGATATAGGGGGACCAAGAGATTTTCCCCAAGGCTGGACAGTCATGAGTGGCAGGGTGTGTGGGACAGTATGGGCAAGTAAGTCCACTGGGCCCCTCCAGTGCTTTGGAAGCATCGGAGATGGAAGGCAGCTGTATGGAGTCCCCAGCAACAAGCTGCAGTAACTGCTTAAGGGGACAGTGAATTATTTTAAGCCTGGTGGGCCCATGGCACTTCAGGCCATCAGAGCAGAGATGCAACACAGAGATGGACTCATGATCGAGGGGTGGACTTAGCAATGGACACTATTGCCCAGGTTATTCACGAGTGTGAACACTGCACACAGTCTCTCCTGCTCTGGAAGACTGTTACAAGAGATGGAGCCTGACATCATGGACCAGATGGACACAGCAGCTTTATAGGGACTGGTCCATGCACTTAGATAAGAGTGATGGTATATTGAAAATGTGGGATCTGAGCATGACGTGAATGGTATGGAATAAGGGGTGGATAATGTCCTGGGTTCAGCAGTAGCACTCATTTTTCCCCTTCTTGGTAGCTGGTGCAGTGCAGTGTTTTGACTTTCAGCTTGGGAACAGAGCTGATAGTGATGTTTAGGTTTGGCCAAGGACTTTGTGAGCCTCATGCTCTGCCAGGGAGGAGGGGAGGCCAGGAGGAAGCAGAGACAGGACACCTGACCCAAACTGACCAAAGAGGTATTCCATACCACAGCACGTCATGCCCAGGAGGTAACTGGGAGTTAGCCGGAAGGGCTGGGAGACTGCAGGGTTGGAGGAGGTATCGGTCGGAGCTTGGTCGGGCTGAGGGGGGGCGAGTTATCGGTTGGCTGGTGGTGAGATGATGTATTCTCTTCCCTTGTTATTTCCTTTATCATTATTATCATTGGTGGTAGCAGTAGTGATTTGTGTTATACCTTAGTTACTAAACTGTTCTTATCTCAACCCGTGGGAGTTGCATTCTTTTTGATTCTCCTCTCCGTCCCTCCGAGAGCAGGGGGAGGGCAAGAAAAGGGGGGGAAGTGAGCGAACGAGTTACCTGACTGAGTTTAAACCACGACAGTTCTTTAACTAAAGTGTCTTAGTGCTGAGCTTCCAAGTGTCCCAGTGAGCAGCGATGCCAAGGGAGCTCTGCAATCACCACTGCCATCTCCTCATCTCCCTCCCTTTGTTCCAGGTGTTCTTCCAACAACAAGTCCTTTGGACCAGCATGCTCCAAATTCCCCCTTGGCACGCTCCCAGCATCCCAGTGCAGCATCCTCTGGGAAGCCCTGCTGGAGGAACGGGCTGGGAATAGTCGCCCACTGTGGGGCAATGGGGAATACATCCTGTCAGCTCTGAACCTGACTTGCTGAGGGGCTTCTTCTTCAGCCTCTGCAATCAATCCAAAAGTAGCTTTTTTATGCTAAAGCAGTATAAGGAATAGCTAAAAATGCCTTGCTCTGATAACAGGCTGTGTTAAATGCAACGCAGCAGCACTGCAGCTCCATCTCTCTGTTGCTCCCAAAGCTTCTGGTCAGCTGGAATTCCATGGGACAGAGGGAAAGCTTTCTTCATCCATCTACAGCCAGTGCAAATTGGCACAGGCCTGCAGAGTGGTACCTCACAGCTTCTGCAGCTGCAGGATGTGCTTCACCATCTATCATCCTCCTCCTCCCAGGGAAGGGAGACCCATTGCAGCATCCACAGCCATGAGTGGTGTGACAGCATCCCAAACCCTCCCACTTCTAAGGTGGTTTTTTTCCTCCTGAAAGTTGCCCAGACATGGTTCTGCTTTTATTTTGGTGTTCCCCACAGCAGGAATCTTGCAGAGGTGACCATGAATAGGAGGTTTCAGTCAGAAATCCTCTGGGTGCTGCTGATGCAGATGCACGTATGCATGCGCCTGTTTCCAGGATGGCCCCATCCATTCCACCCCAGGTCCAAAGCCCAAGAGTTCTGCAATAAAGATGCTCTTTCCCTTCTGACTCTGCAGCTGGGAAGTAGCCCCATCAGAGGCTAATGGGGGTGGCTGTGGGGACCAGCTGGCTCAGGAAGCTGGGATGAGGCTGGAGAGTTCAGATGGAGGATGCTGGAGGAGATGGGAGTGGGGAGGATCCTGCAGGTCCCACCAGCATTCCCAGGGCTGGTGACTCAGTGATGGGCTCTGCCCATGCACGAAACATGGGTGATAGGGTCTGCTTTTCTCATACAGCCCCACTGAAGGAAGGGACTTTGATTTGAAGTGGTTTTGATATGAACCCTTGGAGACAACTCTGCCCTTAGCAAAAAATGGTGAGACTGGAATTGCTAACGGGAAAAACCCAGGGTCTTTGGGAGTCAGTTTTAGGCACTAAAATGTTTTAGATGTATGGGTTTTAGATTACTTTTACATGATTTTTTAGATGTTTTAGATTATTTTTTAGATGATTTTTTAGATTTTTTTAGATGTATTTTTAGGTGCATCTAAAATGTATGTTTTAGAGCAGCCAAAGGTTGGTATCAGCCAGGCACCTGGGGCAGAAGCCAGAAGCACCTCCCAGTTGCAAGGGCACCGTGGAGTGGGAGATGCAGGGCGCTCCTTGGAGCAGTGAATCCCGTTGGAGAAGCTCTTCCACAGCTGAGGCAACCAAGAGCTTCATTCTACAACCCACACAGTTGTCTTTTTAATCATCACAGCAAGGTTGTTAATGGTGCAAAACATATTGGCTACAGCAATAAACCCTTGGCAGGCTGTGCAGTGACTGCATGGAGCTCCTGGTCCCCTTGGACCTGCCCAAGGGACAACAAACACATCCAGCCCAGTAACTCCAAGGATGATCTGCTCAGCCCTGTTTAACAACATCCAGGCTGCTCTAGTGGAAGGTGTACCTGCCCGGGGCAGGGGGTTGGAACTGGATGAGCTTTAAGGTCCCTTCAGACACAAACCAGTCCGTGATTCCATGAAATCTGCTCTCCAACAGCTTTCATGGCATTACTGAGGAGCAGGAGCAATAATTAATCTGGGCTATAGGTGTTCCTATTGTTGTAACCTGACTGAAAAGCAGCTGTGTGTTGTCGTCCAGCTGGGCTGGTAGAGCCTGCATTAGACTGGTCAGAAACACAAAGCCTTGGCTCTGGTTTGAAGGTGTGTTCCCTTGGGCCCAGATGAAGCTTTGGCAATGATTCTCATGCTTTTACCAGAAGGGGAGTTGCTTCTGAGAAGCATCCAGCTGCTCTGCCAGCACCACTAGCATCAGCAGTGTCACTAGCATCACCAGCACCGAAAGCATCTCCAGCATCACCGGCATCATCAGCATCACCAGAACCAAAAGCACCAGCAGTGTCACCAGCATCAGCAACATCACCAGTACCAAAAGCATCAGCAGTGTCACCAGCATCACCAGCATCACACTCTACTGCTGGATGGGTGACGACCCCCAGTGATGTTGAAGTCTTGGGGAGCCCTGCAACAGGCAGAGGAGGAATGAGGAATGGCAGGAGCCTGCCAGGACAGGGAGGACAGGCAGGGAGCAAGTGTTTGTCCTGAGGGGGAGTGTTTCTAATCAGGAGGAAATGAGGAGCCATTCACAAAGTCCTGGTTGTGGAGCTGCTGGCAAAAGTCACTTCCTTTGTGGTGAAAAAAAAAAACGAGATAAATAAGAACGAGGAAGGCCAGCTCTGACGTAGCCGCAGTTACAAAACCATTCCCAGCTCCCCTACGACCCCACTGTGGCTGGGGATCTGCCGAGGGGCACACCGGGACCAGGGGACGTTATTCTATATGCTGCTGCCCCGGGAGGACCCACTTCAGGAGATGGATCCTGAGGATGAGATGCCAAGACACCGGCGTTGATCCGATGGAAAGCCCCTGCCTGCTGCTTCTCCAAAGCTAACAGTTAAGTGCAATCTTTCTCCATCCTTCCCTCACCTTCCTTTCCTTCAGCATCCACTGCCACCAGCCATGTTCATCCCACCCTCTCCTGGAGACTGGCACTGCTCTCCCCAAGTCCTGTCCCTGCTGTTTGGGCTTTCCTTCTGCATCTCCTGCTGAACCTTCCTCTTCGTCCCATCTCCCTCTCCTGTTGCAAATTATCCACCCTTCCACTCCCCAGCACATCCCATGTGCCCTCCACTGATGAATTCCCGGCGCAGGGAGCTCCTGATGGACCACACAGTTCAGCCCCAGCTCCTCCAACCCATTAAGTCTCAGGGGGGACCTGATGGCTGCCTCCAACTGCCTGCCAGGAGGATGGAGCCAGGAGGGGCTGGGCTCTGCTCCCAAGGAACAAGGGATGGGACAAGAGGAAACGGCCTCAAGCTGCCCCAGGGCAGGTTTAGATGGAGCTGAGGAACAATTCCTGCCCCAGAGGGTGCTCAGGCATTGGAACAGGCTGCCCAGGGCAGGGCTGCAGGCACCGGCCCTGCAAGTGTGCACAAACCCTATAGAGAAAGCCCTCAGTGCCATGGGTCAGAAGTGGCCTTGGCAGGGCTGGGGTTGATGATCTTAAAGGTCTTTTCCAGCCTGGTTGATTCCATGATTCTCTGATTAACACTCCATCCATTCTGACTGCAGCCAGGGACCACGTCCCACCTCCTGCCCAGCATCAATCCATGGAGGCGAATGCCATATCCCTACCTCCTGCACCCCCTGTGCTGGAGACTAATGGAGAGAACCCATGCAGGATAGACATCACCGATGTGGCTATGGACACTGTCACACTGCTCATCTGCCTCTGTGGGCTGGTGGGGAATGGGGCTGTGCTCTGGTTCCTCGGCTTCCGCATCAGCAGGAACCCAATCACCACCTACATCCTCAACCTGGCTGTGGCCAACTTCACCTTCCTCCTCTTCATGGTCACCTCAGTCCTCCTCTACATGATGGAGAACATCTTCTGCTTCAGTTTTGAGACCTTAACATACCAGAGGCCACTTTTCCTGCTCTCGCTGTTGTCCTACAACATGGGCCTGTATCTCCTGATGGCCATCAGCATCGAGAGGTGCTCGTCCATCCTCTGTCCGCTCTGGTACCGCTGCCACCGCCCTCAGCGCTTGTCAGCCCTGGTGTGTGTCCTGCTCTGGGCCCTCTCCATCACTGTCATTGCTGCAGTGACATCTCTGTGCCTCTTGCATGAGGATGATCACTGCCGCGTGGCTCTCATCTCCATGTACGTCCTCAACTTCCTCATCTTTGCCCCACCCATGGTCGCTTCCAATGTGATCCTCTTCATCAAGGTCCAGTGTGGCTCCCAGCAGCGCCAACCCAAGCGGCTCTACATCGTTATCTTCCTCACCGTCCTCCTCTTTCTCATCTTCGGGGTTCCCCTCAGCGTCTGGAACTTCCTGCTGCAGTTTGGCTTCGCGGCTGTGCCTTCCCAGGCTGTTTTCCTGCTCGCCTGCATCAACAGCAGCATCAACCCCTTCATCTACTTCCTGGTGGGGAGCTGCCGGAGGCGCTGCTCCGTGGTGCCCCTGCAGGTCGCCTTCCGGAGGCTCTTTGGGGAGCCAGAAGACAACATTGACTTCAGCAGGGACACAACAATGAGCACGCTGGCCTCCGCCTATTGAAGCCATCCCAGCACCCTGCTTTGGGCCCCTGGGACAGTAGCTGAGGCTTTCCTAGAGCAACCAGACTGATAGATGTCGGCAGCATGCCATCGTGCAGAAGAGGAGGGCATCACCAAGGTCAGTGTGTGGAGGGATGCTCTGCAGGGTGCACCCCTTTCCTCCTCCCTTCCATCACTTTCATGGCAAATGCGCCCTAGAGGACCATGTTCCTGAAAATCCCCTGCTTTTTGGGATGAGCCCTGCCTTCGGGTAACTCTGACTCATGTACTTTGTGGGGGTAGAAACTGTTTGGTGTCCTAAGTGCATCTCCCCATCCTACCTTCACCACGGGGGGTACCAATGCTCCTCACCATGCTCTGCTGAGGTCCTACCACCCTCCGTCCCGCTGGTACCTCCCTTCTGCCGGTGCCTCCCTGCGCCTGACACCAGTAAACAGCATCCTGCCTTCTCCGGGCTCCTGCTGCCGGCCGGATGAGGGTAGAGGCGGGAGGGGAATGTGCACGCACGCCTTGTGATCACCAGGGCAAAAATGACACCAACTGCCCACAAGCGGGACTGCAGGAGCACAGCTGGCGCGGGAAGGAGGGGCGCAGGGGTTTGGTGGTGCCCTCGGGCTGTTTTATTACTGTCACTGCAAATATCTCCTCAAATATACATAGATACATATTTATTTTGTGAGCTAAGACTCTTCCTTATGGAATACTTCCTCTCCCCTGCCCTCGGCAGGCTGGAGCTTTCCTCCAGATCAGGCCAGCAAAGGGAAGGGTAGTCTGTGGTCCTCAGCCCAGCCACCACCCTCCAGGAGCAGGGTGCCACATCTGTTGGTCACTATGGGCTCCAGGGGGTATCACCCACCTCCCTACGGCTTTGCCTCCACTAAGGCTCCATCACAGTGATGGGAGAGGTGTGGGTGTGCAGAGTGATGGTGCTGGAACTGGAACAAGCCAGGGCTCGGTTTCCCCCAGTGCTGTCACGGAGGCAGGAGGAAGGGATGTTGCCCACCCTGGGGCTCCCCTGCAGACCTGCCCGGTGTAGCCTCATCCCACACTGTCCCAATGTCATATTTAAGGCTGGTCCCTCCTGTCCTGATGAGCAGGGAACCCCATCACCTCCTGGACCCACAGCCAGGTCCCCAGATCCCATAGCTTCCCACCAGTCCTCCCGCACACCCCACCAGCCCCACACACACATCCCACCAGCGCCCCCCCATCCCACCAGAGCCCCCCCATCCCACACCTTTCCATCATCCTTCCCAAGCCCCACATTTTCCCACCATCCCCCTACAACCCATACCTTCCCACCATCCTCCCCAAATCCCATCCCTCCGTGCACCCCACCACCACCCCCATCTCCCGCTCCCCCCTGGCCCCGGATCATCCCCTGCACTCCGGTGTCTCCCCATGGGCTGCTTTCCCCGGGCCACCCCACGGGGTTTGGGGAAGCCTGTTCCCGAGGTACGCCCCACAAAGAGAGTTGTTCCGTCGTCCCCCCCCCGAGCTCTCCCTCCCGGTACCCGCAGAGGAACGAGAGGCGGCGATGGAGTGGAGCCAGCGGCGTTTATTGGGGAGGAGCAGGGCCGGGAGCGGAGGCAGCGCCCGCTGCAGCCCCGCCGAGCCCCGGGGCCGCTTGCCCCGGGCTGGATCGCGCCCGTCCCGTCGCTGGAGGGCAGCAGAGTCCGGCGGGACGCGGCCTTGGAGCGGGAGCGGGAGGGAGGGGACCGGGATGGGATGGGGATGGGGATAGGGTAGGAATGCGGATAGGAATGAAATGGGATGGGGATGGAATAGGAATGGGGATAGGGATGAGAGAGGGTAGGGATTGGGTAGGAATGGGGATGGGGTGTGGACAAGGATGGGATGGGATGAGAATGGGGATGGGATGAGTTCAGGATAGGAATATGGATGGGGATGGAATAGGGATGTGAGAATGGGATAGAAATGGGATGAGGCTGGGATAGGAATGTGGATGGGAGTGGCATGGGGATGGAGTGGGAATAAAGGTGGGATAGGAATGGGTTTGGGGATGGGGATGGGATAGGGATGAGATGTGGGTGAGTATGGGGTGGGAATGAGGATGGAGATAGGATAGGGGTGGGATGTGGGTGAGGATGGGAGGGAGAGGGGATGGCATGAGGCTGGAATAGGAATATGGATGGAGGTGGCATGGGGATGGGATGAAAATAAAGGAGGGACTGTGATGGAAATGGAATAGGCATGGGGTTAGGAATGGGAATGGCAATGAGAACAAGGATGGAATAGGGACGTAGCAGGCATAACATGGGACAGTCTATGGATGGGGTTGGGCATGGGATGAGGATGGGTACAGGGGTACCATGGGATGGGCTGGGGACAGGACTGGGACCAGGGATGGGCTGCATCGCAACACTACAGGAAGGCAGCCTGCAGGCACAGCCAGGACCAAGGGTCAGCACTGAGCATGAAGCGGGGGGGTCTCAACACAGCCAGCACAAGCACAGTGGCTCTTAAGGGAAGATCGTGGTGATCCCCGTCTCCTCGAAGACCCTCCGGAAGGCGACCTGCAGGGGCACCACGGAGCAGCGCCTCCGGCAGCTCCCCACCAGGAAGTAGATGAAGGGGTTGATGCTGCTGTTGATGCAGGCGAGCAGGAAAACAGCCTGGGATGGCACAGCCGCGAAGCCAAACTGCAGCAGGAAGTTCCAGACGCTGAGGGGAACCCCGAAGATGAGAAAGAGGAGGACGGTGAGGAAGATAACGATGTAGAGCCGCTTGGGTTGGCGCTGCTGGGAGCCACACTGGACCTTGATGAAGAGGATCACATTGGAAGCGACCATGGGTGGGGCAAAGATGAGGAAGTTGAGGACGTACATGGAGATGAGAGCCACGCGGCAGTGATCATCCTCATGCAAGAGGCACAGAGATGTCACTGCAGCAATGACAGTGATGGAGAGGGCCCAGAGCAGGACACACACCAGGGCTGACAAGCGCTGAGGGCGGTGGCAGCGGTACCAGAGCGGACAGAGGATGGACGAGCACCTCTCGATGCTGATGGCCATCAGGAGATACAGGCCCATGTTGTAGGACAGCAGCGAGAGCAGGAAAAGTGGCCTCTGGTACACCAGAGCCACCACAGTGGAGCAGAAGATGTTCTCCATCATGTAGAGGAGGACTGAGGTGACCATGAAGAGGAGGAAGGTGAAGTCGGCCACGGCCAGATTGAGGATGTAGGTGGTGATTGGGTTCCTGCTGATGCAGAAGCCAAGGAGCCAGAGCACAGCCCCATTCCCCACCAGCCCACAGAGGCAGATGAGCAGCGTGACAGTGTCCATAGCCACATCGGTGATGTCTATCCTGCATGGGTTCTCTCCATCAGTCTCCAGCATGGGTGATGGGGATGGGAATGTCTGGTTCAGCTCCATGGCAGGAGGTGGGATGTGATCCCTGGCTGTGGTCAGAGCAGACGGGGAGTTAATGGGATGTGTCAGGATGAGGGGTCCGGTGAGGTGGCTAAGAAGGGCTGGGGACAGGGGGGTGACAGGAGGGCTGGGGAGGTGTTGCCCACTAATGATGGGCTGGGGGTCACTGTGGAGGATGGAGGGGATCCAGGCACCCTGGGGGTGGATGAGAATGGGAGCAGGGAAAGGCTGGGAGCTCCAGGGAGACGAGAGCATCTCTGGTCCCATCCCTACCTTTCCACGGGCTGACCTGCCCGGGCGTCCAAGCAGTTCCTTCCCTCTGGTGCTCCTTGCCACAGTCTTCTCCGATGAGGAGAACCAGGGTCTCCACGTCCTCCTCGCCTCTCCTCCGAACAGAGCTGCTCTTTGGGGCGTTTCTGCAGGATCATGGGTCAGGTGGTGAGGGAGCACCCCCAGGCTGCATCACCGGGCCTCTGCTCCTGTGAAATTCCTGTTGGGCTTGCGGGAAAGCAAATGTTCTGCCCAAAGCAATGCTTTCTCCAGGGGAATGCCCTAGAGGACGGATGCTGCAGCAGCTACATCTTGCTGTGAAAGAACCGGGATGCTTTTAGGATTCAACCTCATTTCTCATTATAGACTGGTAATTGCCATCTTCCTGATTGTTTCGTTGTGCTCCAGTCTCTTCCGCACACCCTGCCCTGATGCTGGCATCCTTCGGAGATTGTTCATTACTGTCTCCATTTCCCTCCCAGCTTTCCTTCATGGGAATCGCCACTGACTCTGCTCCATCTTTGTTGTGCATCAGGTCTAGGTGGGAATTTGGTGTTCAAGCCTTTGGTTCAGCCTTGTTCTCACTGGTCTGGGGGATACAGGCACCTCCTGGACCTGGGTACCTGTTGACCCACCAAGAGAGATGGGGGGCAGGCAGCAGGAGAACAGGAGAAGAACCAGCCATGGTGCTGGTAGGAACAGTCCCCCTGCTCCTCCAGGCACCCCTACACCACTCACTCCCAACAGGACCATGGGGTGGCAAAGGATGTCCAAGACCATGTCCCCACATCCAAGCCGGGATATGAGAGGCATGGTCTCTCCTTCCCTTGCAGAGCAGTACTGGCTGCTCTCTGCGTCCCCTAGAGCTGCTGGGTGCCCGGGACACAGACAGCCAGTGGGCATAGCACCACCTCCCAGCACTGGGTGCCCTCTGCTCCTCCAGTAAGGGCAGAAAGATGCTTCTGTGGCTCAATAAGCTGGTAATTGCTGCTGGGAGTGCACCCAGCACACCCACAGTGGGGCTGGGGGAGCAGCAGGAGGGGGCACCACCAAGCACCACCCCATGTAGAATCATAGAACCATGGAATGATTTGTGTTGGAAGGGAGCTTAAAGCTCATCCAGCTCCAACCCCAACCCCTTCCACTGGAGCCGCTTGCTCCAAGCCCCTGTGTCCAACCTGGCCTTGAACACTGCCAGGGATGGGGCAGCCACAGCTTCTCTGGGCACCCTGTGCCAACGCCTCAGCACCCTCACAGGGAAGAGCTTCTGCCTCAGAGCTCATCTCAGTCTCCCCTCGGGCAGGTTCAAGCCATTCCCCTTGGCCTGTCCCTACATCCCTTGTCCCACGCCCCTCTCCAGGTTTCCTGCAGCCCCTTCAGGCACTGGAGCTGCTCTCAGGTCTCCCCTTCAGGAGCCTTCTCTTCCCCAGGCTGCCCCAGCCCAGCTCTCTCAGCCTGGCTCCAGAGCAGAGCTGCTCCAGCCCTCGCAGCATCTCCGCGCCCTCCCTTGGACTCCAGCAGCTCCACGTCCTTACGTCGAGGACACCACAACTGCCCCCAGCGCTCCAAGCACCTGCAGGGCCGGGCAGGGCCAGGCACAGCACGTCAGCAGCGGGTGCGCCGCAGAACGGGCGACAGCGGGAGCTGTGAGTCACCCCCGCACCTCCCTCCGCCCTGGACTTTGCCTCCTGCGGATGCTCCGGGCAATAAAACCCCTCCAGGGAGGAGGGAAACGGGGTGGCAGGGAGAGCCCCCCCCGCTGCAGGCACCCGTACGTGTGTGAGCACCCTGCCTGCGGCGCTGCCCTGCCCCGCACACCACGGCCCCGGCCCCGGCACCGAGCGGAGCCGCGGGCGGGCCGACGGGAGGGTTGCGGCCGCGCCCCGGTCCGGGCGGGTGCCTCGCACCGCCCCGTCCGCATCCCGGTCCCCGCCGAGGCCAGGCTGGATCCGCCGGCCCCCATGCATCGGGAAGGGGCCCCCGCGGCCGAGGTGAAGGTGGTGGTCGTGGGGGACGGGGGCTGCGGGAAGACGTCTCTGCTGGTGGCGTTCGCCAGGGGCGACTTCCCAAAGGTACCGCATGCCGCGTCCCGGGGGAGCTCAGAGGGGTGCGATGTGGGCATGGGGGGGGGAGTCGTGGTCCTGCAAGGGACGGGGGAGGCTCCTGGGAGCGGTGACGTGGGAGAAGGGGGGGCGGGATGGGGCGGGATGGGCACAGTGGGGGTGTTTGCAGGGCGTATAACTGGGGGTGCTGGGGAAGAGGGTGGCCCAGCATGGGGCTGATGGGAGGCTGATGAGGCTGATGAAGAAGGGCTCTTCATCAGGGACTGTAGCGATAGGACAAGGGGTGATGGGTTCAAACTGAACAGAGGAAGTTCAGGTTGGAGATGAGGAAGAAGTGCTTTACTGTGAGGGTGCTGAGGCGCTGGCACAGGGTGCCCAGAGAAGCTGTGGCTGCCCCATCCCTGGCAGTGTTCAAGGCCAGGTTGGACACAGGGGCTTGGAGCAAGCTGTTCCAGTGGAAGGTGTCCCTGCCCGTGGCAGGGGTTGGAGCTGGATGAGCTTTAAGCTCCCTTCCACCATTCCATGTTTCTATGATGTTATGATGGACACCTCTGCCTCACCTGGGCAGGTTCATGGGATAGGGAGACGGGTCTGTCCTGTGGTCACGACCCCATTCTTTCCCCACATCCCATTTCCCTCTCCTGAGGCTGGGTATATCATCATGCCCTGTCTTATGCACACATCTCCTGTTGGGGGTCCCCTCTGCCTGTGGACAGGCAGGATTTGTCTCATGCCCTTTCTGTCCCCTGCCAGGTCTATGTCCCCACCGTATTCGAGAAGTACACAGCCTCCCTCCAGGTTGCTGGCAAGCCTGTGAAGATCCACCTCTGGGACACTGCAGGTAGGACAGCAGGGGATCCCAGTGTATTTATGGGGTTTGGGGTGTCATGATTCAGACGGGTGTCCCTATGCATTGACAACAGGAGATGGGAGGTTACCCGGGGCAGGGGGGGGGACCCAGCCCATGAAGGAACTGGTGCATAAAAGCTTCCTCCCTGTGAGGGTGCTGAGGTGCTGGCACAGGGTGCCCAGAGAAGCTGTGGCTGCCCCATCCCTGGCAGTGCTCAAGGCCAGGTTGGACACAGGGAGCACCCTGCTCTAGTGGAAGGTGTCCCTGCCCCTTGGGACTGGATGAGCTTGAAGTTCCTTTCCAACCCAAGCCATTCCATGATTCCATGATCTCCACCCGGCAGGACAGGAAGACTATGACCGGCTTCGCCCATTGTCCTACTCGGATGCCAATGTTGTCCTCATCTGCTTTGACGTCACCGACCCCAGCAGCTACAACAACATCCTAACAAAGGTAACACATCCCCAGGGTGGCTTCTCCCACCCCACTCATCCTCCCTAGGAGAGGTGGCACTTCCCCATCGCTGGGCTCCATGCGTCCTCTCTCCATAGTGGTACCCAGAGGTGAACCACTTCTGCAAGAGCATCCCGGTGCTGCTGGTGGGCTGCAAGACCGACCTGCGGCGAGACCATGCAGTGCTGCGCAAGCTGCAGGAGGGGCGCTTGGAGCCCGTGTCCCACCACCAGGTGAGTGGTACCCCAGGATGCCCCCCAGTATGAGGGTGTGTGGGTGAACTGGGGCCATGTGGGGTGGGGTCTGACCCTGCTGCTCCCCACAGGGAGAGGCCATGGCCCGGCAGGTCCATGCAGTGTCCTACCTGGAGTGCTCGGCCAGGTACCAGGAGAACATCAGCAGCATCTTCACAGAGGCCTGCAGGGCTGCCCTCAGTGCTGCCCACCGCAGCCAGCGCAGGAGGAGACCCAAGAGGGGCTGCGTGCTCTGCTGAGCCCCACACCATGGCTATGGGGAACCAGCGTGAGCCAGCACCTCGGCTCCCAGCTGCTGCTGGGGATCATCAGCCACCACCGGCCCTCCGCTGCTACCGCTATCACCCTGCAATGGGTCTGGGTGCAGAGAACTGATTTGGGGGGGGGGGGGGGCATTCCTGCTGGCTGGCCAGTGAGGGAGGGGTGCCATGGGGTGAACGCGGTGCAGTGCCGACATTAAAGATCAACACAGAGCAGCGTGGCATGGTCCCTGTGGGCAGGAGCGGCCCTGGCTCCGTGATGGGGAGACGGGTCCCCTGTGGCCCCAGAGCCACTGGGAATGGGACCCTTGAGTTTGGATGGGGTGTGTCTATGTGCGTACATAGAGATGTGTACGTGTGTGTGCTGTGTGTACATAGATGTGTATGTGTGTTCTCTGTGTGTACATAGGTGTGTATGTGCGTGCTGTGTGTACATAGGTGTGTATGTGTGTTCTCTGTGTGCATAGGTGTGTATGTGCGTGCTGTGTGTACATAGGTGTGTATGTGTGTGCTGTGTGTACATAGATGTGTATGTGTGTTCTCTGTGTGCATAGGTGTGTATGTGCGTGCTGTGTGTACATAGGTGTGTATGTGCGTGCTGTGTGTACATAGGTGTGTATGTGTGTGCTGTGTGTACATAGGTGTGTGTGTGCTGTGTGTACATAGGTGTGTATGTGTGTGCTGTGTGTACATAGATGTGTATGTGTGTTCTCTGTGTGCATAGGTGTGTATGTGCGTGCTGTGTGTACATAGGTGTGTGTGTGCTGTGTGTACATAGGTGTGTATGTGTGTGCTGTGTGTACATAGATGTGTATGTGTGTTCTCTGTGTGCATAGGTGTGTATGTGCGTGCTGTGTGTACATAGGTGTGTATGTGTGTGCTGTGTGTACATAGGTGTATATGTGCGTGCTGTGTGTACATAGGTGTGTATGTGCGTGCTGTGTGTACATAGGTGTGTATGTGTGTTCTCTGTGTACATAGGGGTGTGTGTGTGTGCTGTGTGTACATAGGTGTGTATGTGTGTGCTGTGTGTACATAGATGTGTATGTGTGTTCTCTGTGTACATAGGTGTGTATGTGCGTGCTGTGTGTACATAGGTGTGTGTGTGCTGTGTGTACATAGGTGTGTATGTGTGTGCTGTGTGTACATAGGTGTGTATGTGTGTTCTCTGTGTGCATAGGTGTGTATGTGCGTGCTGTGTGTACATAGGTGTGTATGTGCGTGCTGTGTGTACATAGGTGTATATGTGCGTGCTGTGTGTACATAGGTGTGTATGTGCGTGCTGTGTGTTCATAGGTGTGTATGTGCGTGCTGTGTGTACATAGGTGTATATGTATGTGTGTGCTGTGTGTACACAGGTGTGTATGTGCGTGCTGTGTGTACATAGGTGTGTATGTGCGTGCTGTGTGTACATAGGTGTGTATGTGTGTGCTGTGTGTACATAGATGTGTATGTGTGTTCTCTGTGTGCATAGGTGTGTATGTGTGTGCTGTGTGTACATAGGTGTGTATGTGTGTGCTGTGTGTACATAGATGTGTATGTGTGTTCTCTGTGTACATAGGTGTGTATGTGTGTGCTGTGTGTACATAGATGTGTATGTGTGTTCTCTGTGTGCATAGGTGTGTATGTGGGTGCTGCGTGTACATAGGCAGGTGCATAGTGCTGCATGTATATGGGTGTGTATGTGCGTTCTGTGTGTACATAGGTGTGTGTGTGTGCTGTGTGTACATAGGTGTGTGTGTTGAATGTATTGGTGCATATGACTGTATGTTGCATGTATATATGGGTGCTGTGTTGCATATATACAGGAGTGTACATGTGTGTATGCATATATGCATGTGTAGGCTGCATGTATATAGATGTATGGGTGCTGCATGTATATGGGCATGCATATAGATGTGTGTTGCATGTATATAGCCGATTATGTGTTGTGTATGTGTATGTGTGTGCTGCATGTATGTTGCATATATAAGTGTGTGTTGCATGTATATAAGTGTGTATGCACTACATGCATATAGATGTTTATATGGTTTGCATGTATATAGGTGTGATGTGTGTGTGCACATCTGTTGCATGCATGTATGTGTTGCATGTACATAGCAGTGCACGTGTCCTGCATGTATATAGAACTGTATGTCTATATGCTACATGTATATAAACATGTATTGCATGTATATAGCCTTGTATGTGTTGCATGCCCATAGGTGTATATGTGTACATGCTGCATGTATATAGGTGTGTGTTGCATGCATATAGGCATGTATCGTACGCACATAAAATACAAGCATGTATATACAAGCCTTGTGTATGTGTTGCATGTATAATGGAGGGTATGTGTGTCTGTTGCATGTATGGGGGTGTGTGTGTTGCATGTGTATAGGTGTGTGTGTGCTGCATGTATATAGAGGTGCATGTGTCCTGTATCTTTATAGGAGTGTATGTGTGTATGCTACATGCGTATAAGCATGTATAGCCATGTATATGTGCTGCATGTATACAGGAGTGTGTTGCATGTACCTAGGTATGTGACTGCCGCATGTATATAGGTGGGTGCGTTGCATGTATGTAGGCATGTACTACATGTATATAGCCTTGTATATGCATGCTGCATATACCTAGGTGTGCGTTACACGTACATAGGTGTGTTACATGTACCTAGGTGTGTGTTACACGTACATAGGTGTGTGTTGCATGTACATAGCTGATATATGTACATAGGCGTGTTGCATGTACATAGGTGTTACATGTACATAGGTGTGTGTTACATGTACATATGTGTTACATGTATATAGGTGTGTGTTACATGCACATAAGTGTGTGTTACATGTATACAGGCATGATACATGCACATAGGTGTTACACGTACATAGGCGTGTAACACGTACATGGGTGTTACATGCACATAGTTGTGTGTTACACGTACATAGGTTTTACATGCACATAGTCGTGTGTTACACGTACACAGGCATGTTACATGCACATAGTCGTGTGTTACACGTACACAAGCATGTTACATGCACATAGTCGTGTGTTACACATACACAGGCGTGTTACATGCATAGTTGTGTGTTACATGTACATAAGCGTTACATGCACATAGTTGTGTGTTACATGTACACAGGCATGTTACATGCACATAGTCGTGTGTTACACGTACACAGGCGTTACATGCACACAGTCGTGTTACACGTGCACAGGCGTGTTACATGCACAGTCGTGTGTTACACGTACACAGGCGTGTTACATGCAGATAGTTGTGTGTTACACGTACACAGGCGTGTTACATGCACAGTCGTGTGTTACATGTACACAGGCGTGTTACATGCACACAGTCATGTTACACGTGCACAGGCGTGTTACATGCACAGTCGTGTGTTACACGTGCACAGGCGTGTTACATGCACACAGTCATGTTACACGTGCACAGGCGTGTTACATGCACAGTCGTGTGTTACACGTGCACAGGCGTGTTACATGCACACAGTCGTGTGTTACACGTGCACAGGCGTGTTACATGCACACAGTCGTGTGTTACACGTACACAGACATGTATGTCTTTCGCATGTACGCATGTGCGCCTGCGCCGCACGTACCCAGCCTCACAGGCGACAGCATGCGCGCGGGCGGGGGGGGCGTGGCCAGAAGGGGGCGTGCCCAGCCGCCGGTCCGCGCGTGCGCGCTCGCTCCCGCCCAAGCGGTGGAGGGGGGGCCCTGAGGTGCGAGCTCGCGCCTGCGCGGTGCCCGGCGCCCGAGCGGGACGGGCGAAGGAGGGGGGGCCTTGGCGCATGCGCAGAGCGGGGGATGGAGGCGGTGGCGGAGGGGGGGTCAGGGGAGGTTGCGGGCGGCGCCTGCGCAGTGCGGCGGCCGAGTCAGTGTGTATGTGAGACTCTGACGGGTTCAAAATGGCGGCGGCGGCTTCTGTGTGAGGAGGGGAACCGCGTCCCGGCCGGGGGGGGGGGAGCGGCGGCGTGCGGCGGCGGCACCGGGGCACGGCGCGGCCGGGGCAGCGCTGAGGCCGCCGCACGCCTGGCAGCCGGCGGCGGGGTGCGCTGCGCGGCGCGGCGGGGAGGGGACGCGCTGCCCGGCGGACGCGGCGCCGGGCCGGGGAGCGGGGCCGGCGGGAGCAGGCAGCGGCCCGCGGCGGCCGGCGGGGCTGTCAGCGCACGGGCACCGCGCCGGGAGCCGCGGGCCACGGGGGAAGGCAGCGGCGGCGGGGCCGGGGAAGGGGGGGGTGCGGGGAGGCGCGGCCGGCGGGCCGGGCCCGGGCCCGGGGCGCGATCGCTGCCTGACCGGGGCTTCCTCCTCCGCCTCTTCTGTTTCTCCCCGTCTCGGCGCTAGAAGAGGACAAAGGCGCAGGAGAGACCTGGTGAGCCGGGGCCGGGAGGGGATGGGGGGGGGGGAGGGAATGGGGCCACCCCTGGCCGACCCCGAAGTTTCCGCGAGTCCCCATAGAGGGGCCGGGCGCTGGGTACCGGCCGCCTCCCACCCGGCCGGGGCAGCGGTCCCGGCGCCCGAGGCGCGACCCGGGGGCGGGTCTCCCCTTGCTGGCGGCCCCCGGGAGGGCCGGGTCGGGAAGTTGGAGGGGAGCGGGCGGGTCCCGGGGCGGGCGGGTGCCGGCTGACAGCTCCCCCGGGACCGGGGTCCTGAGGGCTTTCCCCCGCCGCCGCTTTGTTCGGCCGGGCCGGAGCTGCTTTCCTCCTAGCCCGGAGGACGAGGGGCGGGGGGGGTGGCGTGGCCGGGGGGTGGGTTAGGTGTTGTGTCACGCTCCGGGTGTTTATAAACAAGAGTTCGGAAGTACAAGGGAGCTGCCTCAGCCGCGCTGGGAAGTCCGGTCCCGAGTGGGAAGGGCGATAGGGATGGGGAAGGATGCTACGGGATGTGAGCGGCTCCGCTGTCAAACCGTGCTCGGAGGGTCCGGGAAGGGCAAGATGGAACAAGTTCTTTCCATGCTAGGGTAGCGGTTCTGTAAAGCTACACGGGGTAGGGGGGGCAGATTCCTTGCCCGCAGGTCTGGTATAGGCATGGTGAATGGGATGAGGAGTTGCAATGTACCTGGGCTTTGGGTTCTTTTTGTTCCTTTACAAAGGGCAGGAAAAGTTGAGGCACCATCAGATGCCTCGGGAGGCTTTGCCAAGTTCTTGTGCGGTGTCACAAGGTGGCAGGTTTTGAGATCTGAGTATGTAGGTAGGTCCTCTCAAGACAGGAGCTGCTCCCCTACCTGCAGCCCTGCTCGAGTGATGGGAGATGTTCCGTACCCGTGTGGCTTCTCCCGGGTACAGGATATGCAGGGGAGAGCAATGGTGTTTGGAGGAGTTGCTTCTCCAATGCCTCATCTTGTACTCCCTGACCGCTGTTGAGCGTTTGAGAGCAGCTTGCCTGCTCCATACCCCAGCAGGGGCAAACTGAGCTGCCCCTGTGCTGGTGGCGGTGCAGAGCTGAGTCCTTTCTCTGCACTCAGACCTGCAGCTCCTGTCGTGTTACAGAACAGCTGGTAAAGTCATTTACCCTGGGTCATGCCTAAAGTTAGAATGGGGGTGTTCAGAGTTGAGTTGGGCTCATCCACTGTGCTCGCTTAGCCCTGTGCAGGCTCCAAATGAGCAAAGAAATGAGGGATGGAGGAGTTTTATATCTGTGTGCCCTGCTTCACTCTTTCCCTTTACTTCCAAGGAGGAAGAGGAGGAAGACAGCAGCCCTGGAGTGTCCTTCTCCCTCTCTTCAGAAGAGTCAGAGATGGAGCCTGAGGAAGAACGGATCCGTTACAGCCAAAGACTGGTCAGTATTGGCCCCAAACAGTTCTATTCTGTGCTTGGTTCTGTTGCAACTGAAGAAAGAAAAGGTTTAAACAACTCAGACAAGTGTTGTGGTGGATCCCTGCAGCCTGGCCAGAGGTGTCAGCTCAGCTGGTGGGGGTTTTGGTGGCTTCATGAGTCTTTCCTGTGTCAGTTTGCCTTAATGAAGGGCACTTGGCTCCTGAGCTCTGGAAGAGGGTTGGAGGCTGAGGCTGGGTAAGAAGCTGTGGATAGAAATAGGAAGTGAGTGTTGGTGTAGTTTCTGGCCCAGCAGCTTTTCTCCATGTGTTTGTGACAAGCAGAGAAGCTGGAATACTGTGTGTGACCATTGTGTTGGCCTGGACTTGCTTTGATTGTGCTGTGAAAACCAGTTTCAGCTTCAAGCTCAGATGTGCCCCTGTCTTCTCCTGGTGTCCTCTTTGGGAAGGAGCTATTCCAAAAGCCAGGCCCTAGTTAGGCCCTGTCTGGATTGTCAGGGGCACGCATGAAGTCCATGGTCTGTGAGTTGGGCTGTAACCATGAGCACTTTGGGAGCAGTTGCTCTGAGAGGACATTCTCAGAGATGCCATGGAAGGAGGGAAGCTGCTGTGTCTCCTGCAGGTCATTTTTGCCTTGTTTTGAGGCACTGTAAACCCTATGAGTGAGTGTGGGCTCAGTGATAGCCGAAGCTATGATGGAGCTCCTCTGTGAGTACATGCACCCTCACCTTCAAGGTGCTGCCTGTAAAGGCAAATCCTTATCCTTTAATACTCTGGAATCATTTGGTGTGAGGGTGTGTGGTACTCAGCATTAAGCTTTGCCCTCAAGAACAAGCACTTCCTATTGCTGCTGGGTGCCAGGCTGTAGAAAGGGTGCTGGGAGTTGTGGCCAGCACTCACAGGTGTCTTAAGGATGGAAATCCTCTTGTGAGGGTAGAAATGGTTATTCCAGCACTGGCCCCTATGGAGAAGAATGTACATTGTAAGCTGTGGTTTGTCCAGACCTTATAGAAGGTGTGCTCTTTTACTGGTGCTGCTTGTTGGGTCCTTCAGGATCACTTGGATTTTCCCCAAAGTGCTTTAGTGGCTGTTCTAATTTGGCAGTGCCTCCAAAAGCAGCAGTTCCACCTCCTCCTGACACCCTTGTGCCCACCACAACTGTGTGGTACACAGCTCGACCTGCAGGTTTGCCTGGGGAGTGACTTGCTATAGGCAGCAGTCAGGAGAGCTTCACCTGGAGGCAAGGCCAGCTCCAGATTTGGTTCAACTGCAGTTTTGGCTACACTTTGACCAGAAATAATTCAAAATAGCTAGATAAAAGCGTGGCAAATGAAGGGAACCAGCAGCCAGGAACATGCTGATGTTAAAATGCTTGTCATATCACAACTAAAACTGCTCGGGAAGAGTTGCTGACCTGCTGTAGGTGGCCTGGACTGCAGCAGCACGTACTAAGCTGGATAAATGAGCTGCATGCTTAAGGGGCTTGGGAAGACACATGGGCAGCAAGCAAAGGATGAGGCTGACCTCGGCTTTGGTGGCCTTATGTGTGTGTTGTCTCTGCTGGCCTGTGGCTGAGAGAAAACACAGCCCCTATGTAGTAGGTGAGGTTTGGTTCATGGCTCCTGCTTCACTCTTCCAGTGAACTTCCAGCTCATGCCATTCCCTTTCTGTATCAGTAACTTTCCCTTCTTCAAGAACCTTCAAAAGATGATTATTCCCTTCAAGACACATGCTTTGAAATGGGGGAAGCGCTTAGCTTGTTTCTGACCATTGCAGAACAAGATATCACAGGTGAATTACCCAGCAGGACAAAAGAGCTGAATAAGACTTATTTGAATATCCTACTCCTACACATGCTTTGGTTTTGGGAGTTGGCTTTAATATGCCTACATTAAAAGTTATAAGTAGGGAAACAGGTAACTGGTCGTGCAGCATGTTGCTGTGTTTCTTGTATGCGAGTTCGGATCAATGCGGGGGTGACAGCAAAGGAATAAACCTATTTTAAAATGAAATCAAAAGCCAAGTGTGGTAGTTGTCCTTCCAGCCAAACAGCCTGGGCCAGAATGGTTTAGAGTGGTGGAGGAGCTCAATTCATTGCATGGGAAATGGTTTGATGATACCAGAGGCCTGAGATGTCAAAAGCAGTTTGTTATCTGCTGTGTCAGGGCACTTCCACCACCAGCATCTGTTGACTGACTGGTTTCCACAGCACAGAGGGTCTTGAGTGTTTTGTGCTACTGTTACCTTCCTCTGCTTCAACAAAAAGATGATCTATGTCTGTTTTCTGAATGGATTTACCAGTATTGGTGGAAGGTCTGGGTTTTGAAGAGAAAGTTGCCTCTGCTTTGGATGTAGTCACGCTCCTACAAAAACTCTGGCCTGGTTCACACATCCATGTGTAGTATAACACTGACATTAGGTGGGTCCCACTGCTTTAACTGTGCTTGCTTCCTAATTCAGGCTCTCCATCCACAACTCCCAAGATTATAAAGGCCTGGGTGAGTTGGTTTGGATGTGGGGTATCACTGGCAGGATGTCCTGTAGCCCTCTGAAATGAGCTGTGGAAGGAGCTCTGAGAGGCTGACACAGGTAGGGAATGGCATCCTGCAGGTGATGCTGCATGAGCAGGGAGAGCAAGGAATGTCAGTGTTCCTCACCCAGAGATTCAGCTGGGCCTCCCTGCACTGTGAGTAGCAGAGGAGGGGACTTAACAGGCACCATGGAGTAGCTTTCTACCAAGTGCATGCATGTTTCTGCATCCTCAGCTCTGTAAGAGGCAGTACTTTGGGGCTTGGTGTGAGGTGCTGGCTTTACAAGCTGTAGATGTGTTTTGCAGGCCCTTAACTGTGGAGCTGAAACGCTCTATTGTATCCTGTGCCCTGAGTGACAGTGCAGCCCTGGCACCAACAATGTGATAGTTCCTTTCTGGGCCTTAGAAGTCTTCCACTGACTGTCACTGGTTGCATTAAGCCCATGTCACACCAAGCTGTTCAGTTCCCCATTAGGAGGCTGAGGGCACGCTGGCACTTTGAGCAGGAGCCTGGACCTCTTCAAGGCAGGAACAGCAATGTGAGCAGCTCTGGCTGTGAACTAGCAGCTATGGGGAGAAGGAAGTTGGGTTGGTCTGGTGCTGTGATGCTCAGGTGCTCTGTCTGCTTCAGGATTGTCCAGCAGTGATTTCACAGAGTGCGTTGTCCACCTCGGCACTCACAAGGTGACCCGAGTCAGAGGAGGAACTGTTGCATGTGTGTAGCTTAGTTTTTTGCTAATGTTAGATCTGTGTTAGGTCACTGAGCACAATAAGGGGCAGCAGGGAAGGAATCTCCTGGTGCTGCCTTTCAGCAAACTGGTCCATCTCAAAGCTGCTATGAAGGGGTTATTTGACGCAGCACGTTCTGAAGATGCTTTTGGTGTGCTGTAGGTGAGGTTGCCTCACTGTCACAGCATGGGTGATGCTCTGCTGAGGACGGCTTTCTCACTTACTCCAGCCTTCACCACACACAAAGCCCCCTGACATGTCCAGATGTGTGTGAATTCATGGAGCTGCTGCAGGGCTTCTCAGTGGGATGTGGGGCTGGTGTCTGCAGCCACTGAGTATTCCTGGGTGACACAAGTGTGAGGAAATGTTGCCTTCTGTCTGCTCCAGGCTACTTTTGCCAGGCCTTTACCGTGAACTAAAACTAGTCAGAATGTGAATTACGAGTTGGGATTAGCACATAGAGTCATGGAATGGTTTGTGTTGGAAAGGAGCTGAAAGCTCATCCAGTTCCAACCCCTGCCACAGGCAGGGACACCTTCCACTAGAGCAGCTTGCTCCAAGCCCCTGTGTCCAACCTGGCCTTGAGCACTGCCAGGGATGGGGCAGCCACAGCTTCTCTGGGCACCCTGTGCCAGTGCCTCAGCAAACATCACTGAAGTGATGCCAAACACTTCCAGAGGCAACACTGATGGGGAGGAATGAGGGACAGCAGAGTTGTATCACTCCAGGATGGTTTGAGGGGAGCGTAGCAGGTGAATGCCATCACCCTAAGGACAAATCCTGCCCATCCTGGTGCCTCTGCTGCTGTCAAGTCAGCAGTCTGTATCTCAGGGTGTGGTTCCAGCATTGCTGGAGTGGCAGAGCTGGTTTAAGAGGTTTCCTCCCTCCCTTAGTGCCTCAGGAGCTGATGCCCCTGAGCTAAATGCTCCTTCGGGGAGTTGTGGATCATGCCCTAGATAAAAGTTGGCAGCAGAGGGGGGCATCTAATCTAGATTGTCTGTGCTGTGCTATGAGCTACTGCCCCACCAGCCAACCTGATGAGAGTGGGGAGGTGGCAGCCTGAGACAGGGTGGCGTTGGAGCCTCTTCAGCTGGCTCTGCAGCTGCACCCTCCCTTGAGGCTCTGGGTGCTCTCTTGGGGTCAGGCTAAGGTATTATAGTGCCTGGGCTCTTGACCATCACGGCTGGGTGCAGTGGCACCCTAGTTTTGGTTGTTGGAGGTTGATGTGACACCCATGAAGGGCAGTGGGTCTGTGGAGGAGGAGACCCACCTGCTCTTAAGTGCTCTGGGTGCACATAGGAGACAAGGGGTGGGGGGGGTGAAGTGCTGTCTCTCCCATTGCTTGGGGCCTTGTGTCCTGCCTTAGCACGGCCCTGCCTCTGGTCAGATCCTTGTGTGAAATCTGAGAGGAGGCCTCTGCCTGTCCCTACCAGCCAAAACCTGAGGCCTCTCCTGTAAACAGCACTGAGCGAACCTGTCCTTACATGTTGGTGTCCACGTTATCCCTTGGGCAAAGGCTCACATGAGCTTCACAGTACGTGGAGTCATCAGCTGAGGGATGAAGCTTCGGAAGCATGGAGGGAAAGGCTTCTCTCAGCCCTGTATGTAGTGGTGTGGAGTGGCCCCAGCATGCTCAGGTGAGGGAGACTAGGATTCTGATGTGTGCCTAGAGTCACAGTGACTTTCATCCTGTGGTTTTCCAAGTCATTTGGTGGTACCACATCCTTTCTGCAGGATGGGGTGATG